ATTGTATCAGATAATACCAGGTATGTCCATCTGTTAAACATGTTACCTAATAAAAAAAAACTTTTTAACCATGGTTTTAATTTTAAAAAGTAGTGAATTCAAATATTCACTGTAATTTAGATGGAAGGAGAAAAATTACTTCATTTATTTTAATTCAACCACCAAAATATATTTAATTCAAAATTAAGAAAAAATATTTTAATCTGTAAATTTGTAATCATAAAGTGATGATTACCTTGGTAAAATCTATATATAAAATTCTGTGACTTCTTTTTGTCCCTCCTCTAAAATAGCCATATATTGACCAATAGAAAGCTAATTTTGGGGGAGAAATGTAAACAGGTAAGGGGGTTGTTGTGAATATGGATTATCTCCTCTTAGATAATCCAAGCTATAAAAGCTGTATACTTCCGCTCTCAAGTCAGACGAGTAGTAGTATTCTAACCCGAAGGTAAAAACCGGCCCTGAACCCGTTTATACGGGTTCAAATGGGCTATTTTTTGGCCGAGCCTAATGGCTCGGGAATGCCCACGTTAAAAAGGCCTTGTGCCACATGACACCCTCGTGGGTGGGGGGTGACTCAATATCGATGATTAGTAGTATTCTTAATTGAATAAACGATTACTAGACAGGATCTCTTGTCCTGTTTTTCATTACAGGGGTACAAAGGACGGCTGGTTTTACTAGGGTGCATAGCTTACTACAATAAATTTTCAGTCATTTTTACGATTGGCTTATGAAATTGAACGAAACGTAGAGTTTGTAAATCTCGACAAAAATGTTAGCAATAACTTCGACATTAGTAATTATTTTAAGGATTTCAACATGCGTTAACGTGTTGGAAAAAAATTCTAATGTAATCAAAATTAATCGAAAATCTTCATCTTAGTTTTAGTTGCTTTAAATGAGTTTAGCACAACAATAATAATGGTAAAATTAAAGTAATAACAAACATTAAAACAGAAATTGAAGTTATTATTCCAAGGCTAATTTTACCAGGAGAGTTCTGTTGAAGTTCACTAGCATTATGGGATATCATTTTCCTGCTTACTTCTAGAAATGAAGTTTCCTATCATGGCAGAGTTCATCTAATTTTAGATAGCCATTTATTTTCGCGTGACAATTTCCGCCAGCAAATAAACAGAAAAATGTGATTGGCATTTATATAAGATTATTATTATTTTGAACTTATTCCTAACTTACCAGACAATGAATATTCCAAAGAAAAATACAAGGGGTGATTTTAAAAAAAACTTCCTGAATCAAACGTGTCTGGGTATATTAAAAGAAGTCGACTTTATATAAATAAAATCTTAAACAGATGAACCGCGATTGTTAATTCTGTTTACAAGCATTACTGGTTTTGACTTGAACAAATAAAACAGTTTGGCGAAATTCCCTTGATTAATATAGAAACAGCGATTAAGTATACAGTTTTATGTTAAACTTGGAAAATGAAAACGAAAAGAGCATCTTGATGAGGAAGTTTTTGATGATAATATTATGTTCAGCTAAGAGAAACTCTTGAAAGTAGGAGAATATGAACTAAATCTGATGATCGTTTAAATTGTTCCGATGATCTTGTATGTTATGGAAAAACTTGCAGTAGAAAATTCGCTAAAAATGCTTCTGAGAAACTCGATAATTGAGTCGATTTCGCAATTGAGAATAGAGCCAATACCAAAATTTAAATCCTGTTACATAAAATAAACTCGTGACTTTTTAGATGAATATTTATTGTCCGATCTCAACACCAACTTTTAATTAGGCAACATTGATTGATTGATATATTTTTTTTACGGCTTATTAACCCTTTTCTGGTTATTTAAAGCAAGAAAATATTTTTAGATTGTAAGATTTGGGGGAGTTAATAATGATTTTACTGATACAACTTGTACTAATTAACCCGTAGTTGGGGAGCGGTAGTGAATTCATACCTTTCCAAAGAGGATTTGCGCTAAGGTAATATAACGAACCCGACTGGAATTAAAACTCAGCTCTCTGATTTCTCATTCTGAGCCACTATCCACTGCACCACCCACACATCCATTATCTGGTATTCTCAATCGGTCTACGTAGTGACAAGGCCCGACATTATTTAAATTCGATTATCGTACAATAACTGAGGTTTCAACGTGATATTGCTGTAAACCAAAATAACACAAGAAGACAAGAAAAGTGCAAAACGTCTTGAAATATACATAGATGTACTTTTGTTACAGTAATTGTATTAAGAGTCATTGATATCATATGATTTTGTTTAGGAGAATCAAATCCCATAATAGCATGTTGGATTTTATATTAAAAACTTTGCACTAATTTATTTATTTTTCCTTAATTTACAAGTCTATAGAGGAAAATTTCAAGAAAGATAGAAACAAAAAAAAAACATTTATACTGAGAAAGAGACAGTTGAAATTTCTGGAACACATAATGAGGAAAGAAGGCTTGAAGAAATCGACACTCACAACATATTGACGGTAAAAAGACCAGACTGAAACATTTAGTGACGAGCCTGTTGATGGCAGAACAGGTTGTGGGAGAGATATTACGGAGACAGACATTACTTAGAGTTGGAAGTTGTAGAGAGTCATGATCGCCCCCGTTCTGAAAACACAATAAATAAAACAAGTTTTTCAAATTCGTTATTTAACAAATGCAAACTTATTCACTGTAATCTTTTTAGTTCCTAGACATAACACGGAGAATGAGATGCGCTATACTTAACAAAATAGCCCGGCAGCTATACTATGAATAGTTCTTTCCTTCTGCACGCATATTGATTTGTTAATACGTAATATTAAAATCATAGATAGATAGATAGATAAGAAGGAAAAATAAAGTAATTCTTATGTGTGTGCATCTTTCTCAATGTACACAGAAAGACAAAAGTAAAAGAATATTTCTGCTTTTAAATGAAAGATTATATTCATTTTTTTTCAGCAATTCAAGAAAGATTTTGATACAATTTACAATTTAATGGGCTTATCCTTAGCTGATTTCTAAGATTGTTTTTATAATCGAGACATTCTTTATCAAATCTGCTATCTATCCTTGCGGAATATCTAATCAGATTTCATTCAATCATAATAGCAACCTTTTGTCAAATATTTTGGGTGTCTTTTTTATTCCATCATTCAGTTTTTCCGAGACGTACACTGTTAGAAAACAAGAGTCATTATTTCTTTTTTTTTACCTATATTTCTCTAGGGAATTTTTTTGTATAATATAGCACTCTCTTCTCCATGACAAAATCTATTTTTATTATTATTTCTAATTATCAGTGAATATTTGAAAATATCTCTTGTGCACAAATGGTTTATTTTTGTTTCATACTAGCAGCCATACCCAGCTGGACGATCAGAAAAAGCATTCAATTAGAATGGGGCAAAAACAGCATCATGTTTAGATATAACAGAGTCTATATTCTTCAATTACTTTAAAGTACTTTCATTAAAAATCATTTTGAATTAATGCAACTACTGATATAACAGAAGTTGTCTGTATTTATTCAATCGAAGTTAGAGAAAATCTAATATTCACTGATAAAAAAAACAACTAATGACTCATTGACATATTGATTTGGGGAAATGGCTTGCCCCACCTCGTAATTACACTGAAAAGAAACTTGAGCGATGTAACAATTTCAACATTTGAACGTTACCACTTTGACCAAAGAACTAATCTGGGGTAAGAAAAGACGTCTATTTTTCTATGCGCCAACTCGTACATATATAAACGTATGAGGTGGAGGGCTCTGGGAGCGACAGACTCTCTCCCTCACAGGGCAAACGAATTGTACCTTTTCAAGGCAACACCTTGTTATTTTCAGGATAATTCAGAATGTTTTTTTACGGCTTATCAACCTTTTTTCTGGTTATTTAAAGCAAGAAAATATTTTTTGATTGTAAGATTTGGGGGAGATAATAATGATTTTACTAATACAACTTGTACTAATTAAGCCATAGTTGGGGGAGCAGTGGTGAATTCATACCTTTCCAAAGAATATGCATATACTGTTAAAATACAAACCAGCTATGTGTGTTCGTCATACCGTACGTATCTACGCATATCGATAAAGAAATTGTCACAAAAATGAAATATAAAAAATTGACCTTCAATATCCGTCTATATTTCTATATTGTAACAATTTACACTATTTACATTGTTCGAACTGTTGTCCTCATCTTTGTTGTCGACATTTCGGCCGTTGTACGCTTCCAATCACCTGAAGAATGCCGGAGTGTAAAATGGCCGAAACGTCGTGAATATGACAACAAAAATGAGGACAACAGCCCAAACAATGTAAATAGTGTAAATAAAAAGACCTAAAATCCTACGAACCTACAAAATGCTTCTACCGGCCGATGAGGCATATACATAAGATTCTGTATAAATATTTAATTCACTTTGGCTTCGTAAACCTTAAAATTATAAGAAATTAAGAACTACGTTGAACTTTGCATGCAGAAGACTCAGTTTTTCATCACGCAACTCTTTAGCTTAAAACATGAGCGACACGTAGCAAAGCTTGTGAATGGGTGTGTAGATCATTACTAGTATTGAATAACCCCTAAATGTAGTTTGTGATAAAGTATTGCGTGAATGGACCACTGGGAAGGTATCGACAACGGATTCTGATCGCGTGTTCACTGAGATTTTAATACCATTATGGTTCGTTTTTTTTTTCTTTTAAATTGAGAGTAAGAAAATAATTATACTCTTAATGTTTTTCGAGGAATTTGCTTTTAAATCTGACTCGAAACTGAAATATAAATCCCAAACACACCCTTCTTTCTTTACATATATATATATATACATACACGCGTACAAACACGCTGGACGCGTACACGCACAGAAACATACGTGTACGCGTCCAGCGTGTTTGCATGCATGAGGTTAGTAAACAACTAACCAGATTAGTTGCAAAAACGATTTAGACCCTTTTTATACAAATGTATTTCAATTTCAAATTAAAAAAGGGCTTACAACTATTTCATGTTGAAATACCGGTTCTCGTACGATCACTGAAGTTAAGCAACATTGAACCTGGCCAATACCTAGATGGGTGACGGATTGGGAATACCAGGTGTTGTAATTTCTTGGATTTGCGTGTGGCGTAATGGATAACGGCTCGGAATTTTTCATCGCAGAGCCGAGTTCCAATTTCAGTTGGGTTGATTATAATCACTTCTACTCAAATACGCTATGGAAAGGTATGAATCCGTCTCTTCTTCCCCCATCTATGGATTAATTAGTAGTATCAGTAAATAATTATTATCTCAAAGATTTCTTTCAATCTAAAATATTCCCTGTCAGTAAAAAGAACAAAAAAGCAAATCAGTCAATCAAATTAAAAAACTGTCTTTGGTATGACAATAAACTACATCCGCGTCCTGGGTAAGGCGATAAACTACATCCGAAAGCAAAGCCTCTGATCAGGAGGTTTTGAGGAGCGTGGAACAACCGCTTAATTGCTGGTGTTCCCAGGTCGACCCTGACCCGGGGTGGTAGTACCTGTTATGGTCGCATCTATGGGCAAATATTTAAGCCCTACACTGGAGTCAAAACGCTATGAAAGTGTAAAAATAGGTTTTAATACCAGCAATACATTTTTTTGTAAACAAAATTATTTCAAGAAATACATTTTTGAAGAAAAATTATTACCAGCAATATATTCTTGGAAAAAATATTACAAGCAATACATTTTTGGACAAAAATATTACCAGCAATATTTTTTTAGAAAAATCTTACCAGCAATAAAAATTTTCTCGGCATTAAATAACCCATTCAGGTGTTGATATGCCCTAAAACAAAACAAACCAAACCAAATTTTAAAAAAAGAAAATACAATGAAGTTTCTTTGTAGAATATTTCCCGACCGGCTTTTGATTATCTTTAATTAAACACATTAAAACAGAACTAAATAAGAGAATGTGATTGAAAACATTTATTCATGACGCAATGCCAAGAGAGTTTAGGTCATAATCGAGCCGAAATTACGAAAACCTATGTCTATTTTGATGTAAGGAGTTACGACCAAGAGTGATGTGAAATACAATGTAGTGTATGTATGTATAAAGAGACGCATGCGCATGTATACATGGGTGTGTGCATGTTAATCAGGGGATATTTTCTTGTTGACAATCAATATTCCACCAGCAGACGAGGAAGACAAAAATATTTTTTATATCATGGTTGCACTTTGCTACTGAAGAAATCGTGGTAATTCTTCCCCTTTTACCTCGATTTTTATCTAATTTGTTTTATTATATGGAAACTAATTTCTCGGCTTGGGTCTTTTCTTTATCTCTCTTTTATTTGCCTCTTTATAATTGTGCATATACTTAGAAGATTTTACAATGTTAGTGAGCGTGTTCATCTAAGTCTATATGACTTGGTTTGTGTGCGTGTGTGCGCGCGTGTTTTGGCTCGTATGTGTGCGCGTGTGTGCAATAAATTCCTCACTACACAGGACGTGAAAGACGCACTCAGAAATATATCAAGGCAGATCAGTACATACATAAACACATATTCTTACAAACACACACACACACACATATATATATATATATATATATATATATATATATATATATATATATATATATATATATATATATCAGCGTTTCTCAACCATTTCTTCTTTTGGCCGATTTTTGTGACAAAAATCCCAGGCCCACATAAGCACAAATAGAAATTCCATAAAAATGTACATACCTCATCTCAGAAATATAGACAGAAATTCCATGTAACACTAAATGCATTTCATTTCTAAAAAGCAAAATGTAGTAGAAAATACAAATACTAACTAATACCTACACTGATCCAGCTTTTATCAGCTTGTCAAGTTGAACTTTTAAGCCTTGGTTCAGCTTCAAACATAAGTTTACTATCTTTTCAGTCTGCATCTCCAGGCTCATTTTAAAACACTGCTCTAAAATGGCGCTTCCTCAGAGTAAATATCCTGGGTACAATAACAATTAAGACGTGGTTCCACTCTCCCCAAAACATCGAATCTTCCGAACATATATATATATATATATATATATATATATATATATATATATATATATATATATATATATATATATATCATCATTCTGTTATATATATATATATATATATATATATATATATATATATATATATATATATATATATATATATATATATATATATATATATAATTGCATAGATAGATAACTACAAATTGACATATGAATTAATTAATCTGTTCTTATCTGTCTATAGGATTATATATATAATATATATTAATCTGTTCTTATCTGTCTATATATATATATATATATATATATATATATATATATATATATATATATATATATATATATATATATATATATATCATTCTGTTCATATCTATCTATCTATGAACTTGTAAATTTGGACTTTCAAGGCTTGGTTCAGCTTCAGGCGTAAGTTTCCTATCTTTACAATCTGCACCTCTAGGCCCATTTAAACATTTCTCAGATCCACTGGTGGAAATAAGGGCAATCATTGAAAATCACTGCTCTAAATCCTCATAGTCATTGTCTTGAGGCATTTTAGGAATTGGTTCCAAGTAGTAAAGGAGCCTGATTTCAAATCCACTTGTTTTCGCATTTCCGTCGATAGTATGTCTTTTTATCTCAACTCTCTATCGTCCTCAGGGTGATAGAGAGTTGTAATATTTGACAAAATAGCTGAAAAGATTTGATGTTATTATCTCAGATCATGCATCAACTTGCATTCATATATGTGGCGATTTCAATATTTACCTTGAGGAGTAGTTAATCTCTGAAACAAAACCAATGAAGAAGTTAAACATTATCATGACTTGTCCATCGCATAAAGATAGATCCAGATCGTGCATAAAGCCTACTCGTGTTCCTGATATAACTGGGCATCATACAAATCTACGAGATCTTTTTCTAACCTCCAGTTCTAACAAATGTTCCGCTGAAGTTTTACCACCCTTGGCCTCTTCAGGCCACTTGCTTATGAATGCCAAGCTTGATACCAAACCAAAAAATCACCCCATGTCCCATTTCACAGGAGAACGTTTCAATACACGAATACTGACTCGGATAGCTTCAGATGTTACGTTGAGGTTGCTTCTCTGTAAACACTCTTCAAAAATAGAGACGGATATATGCAATGTGATTGGCCCTGATCTGGCATCTCGTTTACAGTCGCTCTCTAACAGACGTGCCATCGCCTCCCTCTATCTTTTCTACAAATACTTTCACGGTAACCGCTCCGACGAGCTACTTTCGCTGCTTCCCAAACTGCAGGAATTTAAACGTGTTACTAGGTTGGCATCTCAGTCCTACCTTTTCACCGTCGAAACGGTTAAATATAACCGTCTCTTCTACTCCAATAGCTTCATGTCTCTGACTTTCCGTCTGTGGAACTCCCTTCCTCTTACTTGCTTCCCTGATAGACATAATTATTCAAATGCAATGTTAATCGACATCTCCAGATGCCTTGATCTATTTCCAATCCTTCCCTTCATCCTTTCCTCTATCACGCCTCTTTCTTGCTTCCACTCTTTGTAATCCCTGCGTGCTAATGACACCCCCGCCTTGCTTGGGGTGAAATGCTTTAAAAAAAGATGTGCCAGAAAAGCCTCCCTCATTTTAGAATGGATTCTTTCTGACATGGAAAGTTTTATAACACGTAAAATATAGTCTGATTAACGTTAGTTCACGAGTAAATGTGCTGCTAACCTATTCATCTTATCATAGGAAACGGACTCGAAGACATATTGTCATATTCGGAACTGTAAGCAGTACAAGAGCATTCTGAAAAATACAAAGAGCAGCTTCAAATCAAAGTTAAAAAAAAACACTCGGTTCCCTGGTGTTCTTGGAACATTACCAACATTGTTTGTTAATAGTTCCTACTGTTACATATGACCCTGGGCTTATCTCATTCTCGTCTAAGCTCTTTGCAATAAACTTTACCTTGAACTCATATGTTAAACAACAAGGCCTATCCCTAACCTGACGATATTCAGTTACCCCCCCACGAGGGCGTCATGTGGCACAAGGTCTTTTTAACGTGGGATCTCCGATCCCGTGGGATCGGACAAAAATATGCCCATTGAACCCGTATAACGGGTTCAGGGTTAGTTTACCTCCCCGAAAGAGAATCCGCTCTTCGGCGTAGCCTTGTTCGGGTTCCTCTGAACTACTGACTGACTATCCCTAACCTGACCGTCCCCCATCTAACAGAGCACACATTTCCTGATTTTTCTATCTCAGCTTGGAAAGTTTTCAGACTCATCAGAAGTCTTGACTATGAAGGTGATCTTCAATCTGGATAAAATTCAAGTTCTTAAGAACCTTAACTCAGAATTATCTCCAGTCGTAGCTAATTTTTTTAACCACTGTTAGAAAGAGAACTGTTTCCCAGTTATACGGACGTTTTCAGATTTATAACCTGATTTAAAGAATGCGGGTGTTCTCCTCATCTCTATATCACCCCATCAACATCCTTAGTCAGCAGAGAACTCACTGAGTGTATTATCAACAAGAAGTTTGTTGATTACCTCAACAGAAATAATCTCATGAAAGAAAAACAGTATAGATTTAATTCCATGTATCCACTGCTGAAGTCATTGCACACAGAATCTGCAAAGCACTCGATAATAACCATGCCACGAGAGTGATATTTTCAAAGGCTTTTGAGAATGTAAAGCATGGGTGTTGCCACACAACCTCTGTAGCTATGACATCTCTGGAGGAGTCTTCACAGTTATCAAGACCTTCCTATCCTTCCAAAATGCTCGTCATTAATGGCCTATGTTTTGATGTCCATGAGATCAATGCAGATGTTCCCCAAGGACGTTTACTTTCCTTGGTCCTAATATCTTTCTTCTTTATATTAAGGATCGGGCCAGGAACTTAGTCTCATTAGGAAATATCTATATAGATGATAGTACAATTTATGGGTGCACGTTCAAAACTCCAGTGGAGAAAAATCTAGTGGATCACAGTCTGGTAGTACTCTCATCTGAACTAGATCTCGCAGCTTAATGAGTAAGAAACTGCTTTGAAATATTTAATACCTCCAAAAACTAAGCTAATAATA